TTCCAAAAAGGCGGACCCTGTATGCCATAGTCATTGTTCTATTATGTGTGTAGTGTTGACCCATAATATATTCCTGAATATTTGTTGATTTAATCATTAAATAAATGAATTCCTTACCATCAAGAGGACAAAAAAGATACTTTAAACAGATTTTGTATTATGTATTTTCTCTTTCAAAAAAGTAGTCTTTGTTGTCAGAAAAACTGATGCCTCAGAGGACAGTAGGATGTTCTGAAATGAAAGATTAGTAAGAGTGAGACAATAGTCAACTTTAATTCTTTCTATACCTACCTAGTCAAATGTGAACTACTCTATGAAACACCTGGTAGATGTCCCAATATCTACCCATATTGGAATTATCTCTTTCTATTATTGGAAGTACTAAAAGGCAGTATACTTGAACCTTGGAAGAATGAGGCAGTTTAAATTCTAACCAATAGTTATATATTTTTTACTTTTATAGTTCATAGGACTAGAAGTAGGGTTAGTATTAAGACTAAAGTGCAGTACCAATAGTTAGCTTGGAGACTGAAACAAAATTTTGTTTTGTCATGTTAGGTCTTTCCCTAAGAGAAATTGATTCAAAGATCTAATTCCCAGGGACTAATTCCCTGGTTACAGGCATGATTTCTGAATGCCATTTGGACATAGTGAATGGCTACGTGGGTTTCCGGAAGAGCACCAAGGCCAACCCCTATTTCTCTGAGAATGATGATCTCATATAGTGCATCTCCCTGAGGGTGTGAAAGGTGACAGAGTACCATCTGAATGGCTTGATTTAGGACGTGGAAAGCTTATAGACAATAATTGGAAATTTTCTTTTAGAAAATAGTTACTTGTATGACCCATAGCAGTGCTTTCTGGAGAATGTCTTAGGCAAACCATCTTTATTTAAAAGAACAATAAAATTTATTACTAGGATAAATGAAAAAGGAAAAAGCCTTCTGAACCTTGGAAGAATGAGGCAGTTTAAATTCAAACCAATAGTTATATTTTTTTCTATTCTTTTATTTAGAAAATACTGGTTAAACATAAAACATACAGAAGATTGCTTAAACATTAAAGCCATTCATTTAGGTCTCTTCTTGAAAGATCAGTGTGTAGGAGATGAGAGAGATTCTATAGCCACAGAGTTCATATAAAGCATTTTAGCATCAGAACCTCCAAAGAGCACATCAACTATATCACCCCCATCAAGTTCCTGGTCAGTTCACTTATCAGAGAAACTAAGAAAGGAATTTTCTTTGGACAAACTTTGGCTGTAGTAACAATACAATTTTAGAATCAGCTGTTAGAAACCATAATTAAAGCTGGTTTATCATGATCAGTAATTATTCTATGTAGTTAGTCTCCCTGAAGCTTTATATAATTCTCCCTTTGTTACAAGCTTGTTTCTCCCTAGGGCGTTCTGCACACCGACAGGTAAGGAAATGAAGTGCTTGGAAACCAGTGTATTGTAATTTATGTAGAGCTAAGCAGATACATTGATTTGAATTTAAAAAAATATTAAAACAATTTTTTCTGTGCATTAGATGGTGCTAGCCCATTAGAAGTTTCAGCTCTATCACATGGATAAGGACATCCCTGAGTAGAAGGAAAAAGTGAAGAAAAGTAAAAATTGGAAAAAGCTATATCAGTATTTTTTTGAGGAATATAGTTAACACCAGGAAGGGAGAAGGTGGTGTTTTTTTTTTTTTTTTTGGTTGTGTGGGGGTTGGGGATTGAACCCAGGGCCTTGTGCATGCCAGGGAAGCATTCTACCAACTGAACTATCCCTGTTCCTAAGGAGGAGTTTTTAATGCAACAACCCCCAACAACAATCTGATGTTGCTGTCAGCCTGGCTGATTATCTGCCAACATTGGTGATCCTTTCATTCACCACTAGAGAGAAGTAGAGAGACCTGATGTTCAGAGAAGCAGCAAAAGACTCATTTCCCATTTGCTTCTGTCAGATGGAAGTGCTTGTGGGTTGGTCTCATATTCCTGTACTTCAATCCTGGTGATGCACAGAGTAACTGTACCAAGGAAATCAAAAGGATCCTCTCACTTCAAGCCCAAGACCCAAAAAGGATAGGAATGAACCCTGTTTCATTTTCTTCCAAGGAAGCAGTTCAGAGCTTCTCACATGCTTTGAGACTAATCCTTACACTGTGTAGGCTCGAGGGGAGAGGCAGAGTAGAGCAGTGCTAATAACAGGGACTCTGGGGACAGATCAGAAACCTGAGAAACAAATATGGGACATTTTATCCTCTCCAGTCTACTTCCCTTGATCTAAATTCATTTCCAGTTTCCCCACCAACCAGTAGTAAACACTAAATTGAGCACAGCTCAGGTTTTTACCATGCAATCTAGTAGAACACCTAGACATTGGGGACATCTTACCCTTGTATATTTGTAAAATAAAGAAATCTCTCTCACTTGAGGCTGTGTGGGCAGGATTTTCATCCTTGGAAACCAAAGAGAGGACACTTTCCTGCTGTTTCCAGATTGTTCTCTTATTTCCTTTCCCACTTATGGTCCCTGCTTCTTGCAAGGGACCAGGACCATGCAGAAAATCAGCCTCCAATAAGTTTCAACACTGAAGCTTCAGAAGATTGGTAATTCCTGCAGAGTCTTCTTAAAAGAATGTCATACATAAATGCAAGGTTTAAGTAGCCTCACAGATCTTTAAGAACACTGTAAACATCCCTGGCTTAATTAGTAGTCACAGAGTTAGGTAATGGCCTGTGGCTTTCTGAGCGAGGCCTCTTGAGGTTTCCAGTCTTCAGGGGCTGCTTCAACTGTGATGTACACATATACAGTCGTTTTCTTATACATTTCATAAATCCTTGAGACCTTTCCAGGCATCTACTCATAGTTATTGCAATACATTTTTAATTGATTCCTGTTTTCCCGGTTTTCTAAAATGACCCAGTGCCTCAACCTAGGTCTCAAGTCAGATACTTTTGGACTCCAATTGTTACCTCAAATTGTACTTTCCTAGGGAAAGAAAAAAAAAAAAAGAAAAAGAAATTCTTAGGTTGGTGTTGATGCCCATTCTCTCCAGGCAGAAGGTGGACTACTTGCTTTGTAGCTGGTTATTGGAGGTATAGGCTCCAGTTCTCATTATTTCTGATTAGCTTTCTCAAGAGGATAGGGCAACCAATCCCGGCTGTAAGCAAATTTAACAGGTTTGTTCTGGGCTGACGACCATTGCCTAGGGTCTGCAACCTGGTAAGTCATTATGGCTGAGACTACAGTAGGCGAAGCGCATTCACCAGCTCAGAGGTAGTGACTGGAAGTTGTAGCATCGGCAAATCCAACCAGAGGGCTGCAGTAAAAGATACCCTTTTACTTCACGAACTCAGAAATCCGAGGGTTCACCCTAATTAATAAGAGATGCGTCAGACCTTTGGGGCCCAGCACTTCTCCCCTGGTTGGGATCGTGCAGGCGATAGAGGGTAAGGAGTCTCAGGTTTCAGCCTCTGGGCTTGTTCTGTGGGCAGCAGGTGAGGAGTAGGAATGGGAACTCTCCCCAGTGGTGTTTGGACGAGAGTGCTTGTGTAACCGGCTCTTCAGACGCTTCTGCGGGAAGCTGGTCTGTGCCCCCTTTTCCGGTACAACCCTGGGGGAATTCGCGGTTTGATGCTCATGCGGGGCGGAAGCACCTAAAGCAAAGGAAGCATAGCACTTGCCTCCGGAGCTACTAGAGGGGAGTGGGAATTTGGAAAGTTCCCCAACTAGGAACACACGTGATCCCCTCCTGAAAGTAGTTCCGACTGTCGCTCTTGTATCCTTCCACTCCCTTTTGAACCCTCCTAGGCCTTCTCGCTCCGCCTACTCGCAGGGCTGTAGCTTCCTACCGTTCTGTACTTTACACTTGGACCCCGTAACCSGGTCCTTGAGCGTGCACGGTCCGGCTGCGGGAGCCCCGAACCTAGCCCCGAGCGATCCGGCTTACCAGATTTTCTCGGCGGCCGAAAAGGGGCGGGGCGAGGTGGCCTGTGAGGACTGAGCTTGAGTTCAATGCGGTGACCTGACCTGGAGGGGAGAGATGCTTGTCTCCGGGAGGCGATGGAGGGGAGTGGGGTGCATCCCACTCACCGAGATTCTTCAGTTCACTTAGACAGCTGTCTTTTGGATTCTGGAAATTTTGGGGAGATGTGTTTGTGTCCATATTAGCGCGCACAATGAGCGCGTTCGGTTGGTAGCTTTCGTTTTAGGGCTAATGAATCGAGTTGCCTGGGAAGAGAAAGGTGGGGCAATGAATGGGAGCCGGATGRGGTGATACACGGCTGGAGACACAATAGGGGGTTGTTCTTTGTGCTAAGACTGACACCTTGAGGACACGGAGCGGGGAGTGAAGGGATATAAAGGCTGATACGGTTAAATTACTGCCAAAGACTGATCAGACTATAGTGCAAACCGAGTGAGAATCCAGGCCTTGTCAGAGAAACGTAGGGGACGGGTGTCCTTGCTGCATTTTCTTATACACTGACCAGAGCGGTCACCTGGTCATTGTCACCTGTGAGTACAGGTAACCTCAACCCGAGAGTCGGTGACACTTCTCAAAGAAATTAGCTCGTCCTTCACCATCTCTCCCCCGCGGCTACCCTYACTCCGCCACAGCCTACCCTGCCTGGGCTAGGTTTCTGGGCAGAGGTGGAGGTTCAGCTCGTTCCCACCTTCCCGCCGCGCTGCTGCAGAGACGGCCGTGGCAAGTGCAGTTCTTAGCGGGCGTCTCGGAACAAGCCCGAGCGAGCCCCCGGCAGTCACACTGGGCATGCTCAGTAGCGCCTGCAGGTTGGGGGCTCCGCGCTCGCCCGGGGAGCTGCTCCCTCCTCCAGCCCCTGCGCCGCCTCGGCTTCCCCTCGTTCGCCTCCCCCTCCCCTCGGGTTCCCGAGGCGCACCGGCTCCCGGCGGGCGGCGGAGGGGGCGGGCAGGCCGGCGGACGGTGATGTGGCGGGACTCTTTGTGCACTGCGGCAGGATACGCGTTCGGACGCTGGGACGCGGCTGCGCTCAGTTCTCTCCTCTCGGAAGCTGCAGCCATGATGGAAGTTTGAGAGTTGAGCCGCTGTGAGGCTAGGCCCGGCTCAGGCGAGGGAGATGAGAGACGGCGGCGGCCGCGGCTCAGAGCCCCTCTCAGCGCCTGTGAGCAGCCGCGGGGGCAGTGCCCTCCGGGAGCCGGCCGGCCTGCGGCGGCGGCAGCGGCGGCGTTCCTCGCCTCCTCTTGGTCTTTTCTAACCGTGCAGCCTCTTCCTCGGCTTCTCCTGAAAGGGAAGGTGGAAGCCGTGGGCTCTGGCGGGAGCCGGCTGAGGCTCCGCGGGGGCACGTCCCACTCCAGGAGGGGGGGAGAAGCGGCAGCGGCTGCTGCCACAGCTCCTGGGAGGGGGTCGGAGTCGCCTGTCACCATTTCCAGGGCTGGGAACGCCGGAGAGTTGGTCTCTCCCCTTCTACTGCCTCCAACACGGCGGCGGCGGCGGCGGCACATCCAGGGACCCGGGCCGGTTTTAAACCTTCCCTCCGCCGCCGCCGCACCCCCCCTGGCCCGGGCTCCGGAGGCCGCTGGAGGAGGCAGCCGTTCCGAGGATTATTCGTCTTCTCCCCATTCCGCTGCCGCCGCTGCCAGRCCCCTGGCTGCTGAGGAGAGGCAGGCCCAGTCTCTGCAACCATCCAGCAGCCGCCGCMGCAGCCAYKACCCGGCTGCGGTCCAGAGCCAAGCGGCAGCAGAGCGAGGGGCATCAGCGACCGCCAAGTCCAGAGCCATTTCCATCCTGCAGAAGAAGCCCCGCCACCAGCAGCTTCTGCCATCTCTCTCCTCCTTTTTCTTCAGCCACAGGCTCCCAGACATGACAGCCATCATCAAAGAGATCGTTAGCAGAAACAAAAGGAGATATCAAGAGGATGGGTTCGACTTAGACTTGACCTGTATCCATTTCTGAGGCTGCTACTCGTTGCTTTTCTGTCACTGTTTTATAACGTGGGAGTAGACGGATGCGAAAAATTTCCGTAGTTTGGGTGACTGTAACGTTTACCATGATCATATTTCTGTATCATATATTTTGTGTGAATGCATTCAACCTAGGGTGTGTTCGGCTAGATGGAACTCTTGCCTGGTTGCAAGTGTCAAGGCAAATTGGTTTCTCAGTCTATGTGGTCTTTCGAAGGGCTATTGTCCGTTAATACAGAATACTGTACGCTGTTAGTGGATTAGTGAGCTCGGTAATCCGGTCTCCTAAATGAAAAAAAAAAAAGTACACGCTTTGAGGTTGAGCATATTTCGATTAAATCTTGGCTTAGGCCCGAGATCAAGGGTATAGATTAGATTGAAATGAAAATTAGTGTTGCACGTACGCATATTGCATCAGAATCTTGCAGTGATTGTTTTTAGTTTCCTGGGTTGCATTGATAGATTCTTTTAAAATGTGAAGTGTGGACTGATTTGCATAACTTTAGAAGCAGAATCATTTTCCACATATATGGTGCGCATCTGAGGACAAAGTAGGTTTGTGTGTTTAAACTAAGTTAATAACAACTTTGAATTGTATTTAGAAGTTTTGTAGTTTGAAATCAATAGAGCCATAATATGATTTATAAGGAACTCTTATTAGACCTTTGTTAAATTGGACTTTTTCTTTTCTAATGAGGTGATGATGGGATGATGTAGGCTGGGCCATGAAATGTACATTTCTGTAGCATTTTATGTTCAGTGGTCTTGGCATACCTAATAGAATGGAGATTGAGCAGTTTTTGATCCCGGATGATAATGTATATGTTCAAGGGTATTGAATGTTGCAAATGGTGATTGTAGAGGTTAAACTTCAGCTCCTACTTGAAGTATTGTAAACTGAAATTGCTACTTTTTTGGGGGGTGCTTTTTAGATTTCAGGTGCTCTGACACCTTTTGGGTATATCTTAGTTTTATTCGGATTTGATCTAATGTCCTGTATAAATTACCAGCTTATATCCAGAAAAGCTGGCAAGAGTCTTACTCCAGCTTCAGGTTGTAGGTTTGTTAGTTTTTTTGCATGCAGTGGATTAAATTTACTGAGTCAGCTTGTTGAATAAGACACAAACCCAATAATTTAAAGGTGTCTAGTTTTGTCTAAAAGTTAAGCCTTTGTACTTCAAAAGTTAGTGGTCATGGAAAAGCATTAATCTTTGCAGTTTCAGGTATATCTAATTGGTTTTGATTAGGAATGGGGATAGAGCCCTCCTTTTTGCAGAACGGAATTGAGGGCTTTTGGTAGGGCAGTATATAAGATGTGTGAAAACAGAATTGTTATTGGTCCAAAGTGACTGAATCTAAGATTTCTCAAGTCCTCTGTTAAGATCTAAAATTTAGTGCTGTAAATTGCAGCAGTGGACAATATTTAGTTAAAATTATGTAATTGCATAAGGACATATATATTTTTTAATTGCTGGGAATAGAACCTGGGGCAAATACTCAACCACTAAGCTATGTATGCACATTAAAAAGCATGACTTTTATTCAGAATAAAAATTATTTCTTAGCAGATATTAGTAAGCATTTTGTTCAAAAGTAGAATGGCACAAAGGTGTTTATATGTCCTGCTAATAATTGAGGGGAATATTATTTTTTAAAAAAATGTTTTATTTTGGAAGTGGTTTTATTCTTTTGGATTATAATAGCTGCATATAAGGGTGCACAGATAATTTTGCCCAAGTTTTTGTTTTGAAATGAAGTGTACTGAACAAAATTTAAGTTTAAGAGAGTATTTGGAAAATTTGGAGTCTGCATTAATTGAAAAACTGCTAAGGCTGAACTTGACCACCTTGCCCAAAAGATTATTGGGGAAAAATTCTGATTTGTGACTTACTTCAAAAGCAGTTTATTACTGGTTTGAATTAACAGTCATCTAGATATATAAGATCAAATTAAATTTCTATTTAACTTTTAAAAACTCTCATGCAGAGAAATTATTAAAATGCTGTCTGGTAGACAGATTTAGCTTTCACAGTATAATTATGCTGTTTTTGCTTTTTCCACTTGATTTAAAATTGTCAGGGTTATAAGATCTTAAAATTTTGCCAATTTCTTATGTGAGTAGTGAGGTGATGGGCAATTTCTCCTTGATTTCACAGTTCGTGGGCCTCTGCACATGAAAATTTATGTGAATTAAAGAACTCTCTCTAAAACTACTTTTGGTTATGGTATGTGTACAAAGCAATATCAAATATTGCTTCAAATGAATAATAACTCTTAATTTCTATAATTGTGGTTTTATTGAGCCAATGTTGATATGAGAAAAAGCCAGAAAAGAAATGTTAATGAAGTTCTTGCTCTTTTGTTAGTTGCACTCCCAATAATTTTGATATACCAAAGCAATTTGATTTCCTTGGTTTCACTTTTAATGTTTTGTGCTGGGAACTGGAATTAAAATGGTCATTGAAGACTGGCAGGTTGTAGTGTCTATTTCAGCAGTTAGCCTGGTAAAAGTTAAATTCCTTTATAAAAGTAATGAATGGAGTAATTGTATTTGCTAAAGAAAGGTTAATAATTGATTTCTCAGAGGAAAGTTTAAAATGGTAATTCAGTTTTAAGATATTTTTTCAAATTATTCTTACTAAGAATTTTTTAGTAGGGTTTTATTCTTAACGTTAGTCTGAAAGTAGTGACCAATGGGAGACTAAAAGATTTAGTGTCTTTAGAATTTAGAATGCATGGAAACTTTAGGTGTCTCTTGGATTTTTGTCCTTTGATAGATTTGCATATTTTCAAATGCTCATGTTCATGGGAAGTATTTTTAAATTAAAGGGAGTATAGTAATTATTAAAGTTAGCTATTTTTTTTAAGGTAAGTCATTATTGAAATTTAAAAAAAAATATCTTTTTCACTATCTTTATGTAGCTACCAAACTGTATTTCCTGAAAAACACAACTGGATGACCTAATTGCTATATAATTTACAAGCTTCATTTTGTAAAGCTTATTCAAGAAGGAAGTGCATCTGAAAGGAGTAATTTACAACTTAAATAACTCGATATAAGGAAAAAGGAATTTTATTATTGTCAGTTGCACAAGAATATAGTCATCTATGTAGATTTATGTTACTTATATTACTTACTAAATGATTAAAGATAAATATGTTGAGATATAGCCACTTATTTGTAGACTTTTTTTAGAAAAAGGAGAAAGATGCATAGTATTATCTTAAAATTTTAATAAATGAGAAAGGCAGCTAGTATTACTTTTGTGCAGAATAGTTTATCTGCTTTCTCAACTATATAAAATGTATAAACTTCTTACTGTTATGAAGTGGCTTACTTTTTGGAAGTGAAGTCTTTAATTCTTATTTTCAAATGTTTCATTTTGGAATTTGCCCCCTCTTGCTATTTTTTCTTTTGGTAATAGCTTAATACCTTTAAAGAATTTTAAAGCTACTTCTAAAGTAATCACTGCAGTGATTTTTAATTGAAGAATTATTTATTATAGGAAATCAATTCACAAAGTTTCAACATTAATTCAGTTTTGAGTAAACATTTAGTTTTTAAATTTTTATCTCAGTATCCAAGGCAAAAGTGTAGGATATGTTTTTATATTGATAATGTGTGTGAATTCAGTTTGTAAAGAGAAATTTAGAAGTGTGTGTATGCATATGACAGTTTTTTATATGCTTGAAATGTTAGGCCGCTGCCATACTATAAGGATTTAGCTTTCAGAAGGTACGTTATTAATGTTGTTTAAGAAATGTATTTGTTACTGCTTCCTTTTCTATAGAAATCATTGGCTTCAAAACACAGTTTGAACTTATATGTGTAGAACTCATTACTCTTCACCTTTGTTTCCTTTTTTTCCTCCTTAGACAAACTGGATTTTCAGAGTCAGCATTGCAGAGTTCATTTGTGGCCTGAATTCATTAAGAAAAGGTTTTAGGGTTGGTTCTAAAGACAGTGAATTAGGATAAGTTTATCAGTTTTTGAGATTATGATCAGAAATGATTTTCATACTCACTGCCGTATGTCTGTAATTCCAGAGACTCAGGAGGCAGAGGCAGGAGGATCAAAAGTTCACAGCCAGCCTCAGCAATTTAGTGAGGCCCTAAGCAACTCAGTGAGACCTTGTCTCAAAATAAAAAGGGCGGGGGATGTGGCTCAGTTGTTAAGCGCCCCTGGCTTCACTTCCTGGAACTCCCCCCCCCAAAAAAAAAAAAGATTTTGCAAATATTTAGTTCTGTTTTACAGTTGCTTTCTGTCTGACAGCTTTGAAATTACCTGATAGCTTCTTAAATTTCTAAGGATTTGTGGAGCAAACTTTTACCCTTAATTCTTTTTCATAGGCCATATTACTTCCACATATATTTCTTGCTAGGTGTGGATGGAAGTGTTTTGGTCGGTGAATAATGGTTGTCTTTTTAAGGATTGAGGATATATGCATTCATTACTGCAAATATATTTGTCATGAAAGGTGAAATTAGTATATTGGATTTGACTCTTCACCTTGCCTTTAATTTCAGATATTTTTTATTAGTTGAAGAAGAGGTATTAGTAATTTCATTCTTTTAAAGTAATTTGCAGTGGAATAATCTTGAGTRGAGGTAATTGAAGGATGAATTTATTTTGGCTGGAGTGTCTTAATGTAGTTCAGAATAATTAAGGCAGACTCTGTATTTGCCAGGGTTGACATTAGGGCATGGATGGAGTTATCAAGATATTAGGTATACACCTGTTGATAGTGGTTAAACTATGGAGAGATGGCATTGTGGCTAACCTGCTAGCAAAAGAATGTTCTTGTAGGGCTGGGGATGTGGCTCAAGCGGTAGCTCGCTCGCCTGGCATGCATGCGGTCCGGGTTCGATCCTCAGCACCACATACAAACAAAGATGTTGTGTCTGCCGAGAACTAAAAAATAAATATTAAAAAATTCTCTCTCTCTCTTTCTCTCTCTTAAAAAAAAAAAAAAACAAT